CCGCGAAGGTAGTGTGAATTTTTGGTGAAGCTTTAAGAGGTCGGTTCGCCAAGAAGCGATCGCCCGTCGCCGTTACAGCTTAGTTTGCGCTTGGCCCCCATCCCCTTTGAGGGTTGTGTACGACATTAGTAGTGACGACGAATGTAATTCGTCGGCTTGTAACATAGACGAAGGCGAAAGCGCAAATAATGATATAATTTTCTTGTGAGGCTTTTCTCACGTAAATACAACACATTTGTAATTTTGCTTACTTGATACTTTTGTGAATTGTTGAACGTATCTTCATGCTATCGTTCGCATAATCACTGTCGTGCTTTCGTTAGGTCGAAACATGTCGGCCCCTTTGCGTATTGATCGCGAAAAGATATGTTTCCTCTCAGCCCTGTTCTTCCATTTTAGGCTCGTGGCAGGCGTGCTACCAGGCATCATGGCCTGTGCGTAAGCCGAGTACAACGGTGTTTTGACTTGTATTTTCAAAATTCGAGCTGTCGCGGTTTCAACATTTGGTGAGCTATGCTTCGACCGATTCGTTTCGCCCCCCATGGCGTGTTCGCTGATCAGGCGTTTTCCTTGGGATTTTTCCACGAAAACATCATTCACAGAAAATAAAAAGCGAAAGGAACACAAAAAAATTATACTGGTTCGGGCCTCCAAGGTGGATAATAACCCTACATCCAGTTTTTTTTCTTTTTTTCATTTTCCTTCTTTTTTTTTTTTTTTGCTTTTTGTGCCGAACGGCTTACACAATATGTACATATTTACATTTGGGCAATTGGGTGCCACCCATTTTACACATAGAACCACCTAAGGGAAGCGGCGTTCCAGGAGTGCTCGAACTCTTCGCCCTCCAGTGTTGCCAGCCAAAAGGAACCCGTCCGAGACTTATGCTTGATCAAATATGGTCCTTCCCACTTAGACTCCAATTTCCCGACTGCCACAGGGTTCGCCTTCTTCCTTAGTACAAGATGGTCGGGCCGGAGCTCTGTTGGTCGAACCTTTCTGTTATAGGTTGCCGAAGTGCTTTTCGCGTACTTGCGCATGTGTTCTAGTGCTTCGACTCTCACCCCTTCCAGGAGTTCGAGCGACACTTCGCGCCCGTCTTCGCCCCCGGAGAACATCACCCTTGGTGAGTTAGCCCCTAGTTCTGCCGGTGTCATTGCCTCATCTCTATAAAGGAGCATGAAAGGGCTGAACTTTGTTGGCCTTGTGGGAGTTGTGCAAAGGGCCCGGAGGACAGATAACATTTCGCTTGGCTATTTACCCTTCGCCGCTCCCTCAAGTCTTTTCTTTAGTGCCTCGAGGATTTTTCCATTCGCTCGTTCGGCCGCCCCGTTCGACTGCGGATGTGTGACCGATGCTAACTTGATTTGCAAATTTAGTCCCTCGCACATTTCTTTTAACTTCTCAAAGTCGAACTGCTTGCCGTTGTCAGTGATGAACTCCTTCGGCACCCCGAATCGACAAATTATGTTTTTCCAAATGAACTTCTGAACCGCTGCAGCGGTTATTGTGCCAAGGGGTTCGGCCTCAATCCAGCGAGAGAAGTACTCGATAGCTACGATGGTGAACTTGTAGCCATTTCGCCCTACTGGGAATATGCCGATGATGTCTAAGCCCTCATCTTGCGAATGGCCAGATGCTCGATTGGCTGTAAGGCATACTGAGGTGTAGTTTGGCTTCGGCCATGCTTCTGACAGCTTTCGCACTTTTTGATTTGCTCAACACATACTTTGAATACGGTTGGCCAGTATATGCCCTGGCGAAACATTTTTGATGCAACGGTCCTTGCTGCCTGGTGTGCTCCGCACATCCCCTGTGTATTTCCCTGACTGCAAGATGTTGCGTTGTACTTCATCCATCTAAAGAACTAATGCATATTTCTTTTATCATCAAAATTAAAAAAGAATTAACTTAATCACCATGTGACAAACCAAGAAACTAAATATATATACATGCAACCAATAAGTATTAAGATGATTGTTTAAGTTTAGATTAACAATTTAATTAATCATATAGATATTACAAATATGCACGTCTCTTTTAGAAAATGTAAAAAATAAAATATAAATTAGACTTTTGTATGGAGGGAATAGAACATTATTGGTTGATCTGGTCGAAGTCAATCGTAGGTACTCCCTCTGTTTCGAAATATTTGACGCCGTTGACTTTTTCAAACATGTTTGACCGTTCGTATTATTCAAAAAATTTAAGTATTTATTACATCTTTTCCTATCATTTGATTCATTGTTAAATATATTTTTATGTAGGCATATAATTTTACATATTTCACAAAAGTTTTTGAATAAGACGAACGGTCAAACATGTGCTAGAAGGTCAACGGTGTCAAACATTTCGAAACGGAGGGAGTATTCCGTATGATGTTCGTGGCATGTGTAGCATTACTCCATTACTGCACAGTACAGTACAATGGAATACCGTGCAGGATAGTGGACACAGATCAAATTGCAATAATACTGAGTATCTGGATCAGATCGCGATCGGTGATCGGAGTTGGCATTGAATCCATTGAAACTATATTGAAAGCTCGATTGTCAACTGTCGAGAAGCAGCCGCATCCAGTGGAAATTACAAGGCACCTAGTTAAGCAAACCAAGGGCCGGGTTACTTAATTAGTCCCTCCGTAAAAGTTTAAGACCTACTCGTATTTCTTTTCACCAAGACAAAGAAACAATTAATGTATTTACCATGTGATAAAACTCAATGGACATTCAACCAATAAGTGTTAAAATGACTTTTTATTTCGATCAATAATTTAATTTAGCACATAATTATTATAAATAATACTTATATTTTTAGAAAAAAATTAAAGAATGGAATAACTGGAAGGAGGGAGTACGCATGATGAAACCTTTGCGGTGGTCAAAGACGTGGCTGCAATGACCACGCAAGCTGCGCGCGTCGTAACACGAGGTGGCAAATTTCTTGACGCGAGTACAGATTTCTTTACGTGAGTAGGCCGCCAGCATTCTCAAAAGCCGGCGAAATTAATTGTATTTGTCCCTCTTGTGCAATGTGAGAACTAGTACCTACTCTTACTAATTTCTTTGAATCTGTCGCTGCAGAAGGGTCTCTCAGACCCATCGTTTCCGAATGGCATATTTACAAACTAATACTACATCCGTTTCAGGTTATAAGACTTTCTAGCATTGTTTATATTATTATAGATGTTAATGAATCTAGACACGCATATATATCCAGATTCATTAACATATATATATAAATGTGAGCAATGTTAGAAAATCTTATAATATAAACGGAGGAAGTAGTAATTTGTAAATAAAACTTTTATATATGTGTTCTTAACGATCAAAAACAAAAGCTGAAAAATAAACCTCGATAAAAAAAACTTAAAATCAGTTTTAAATTTAAGATTGAAAATTCAAATTTTAGCTGATAAAGATAAGTAGAAGTGAAAATATGAAACCCTCTGTCTCTCTCAAGATCAAATCATGTAGAATATTCAAAGATAAGGGACTGACTTTCTCGTCCTCTTTGCGCATACGTTACTCCGTCCTTATCGCTTCTTCCTCTGTGGTTGCTTTCATCGATGAGTGCACGTATGGCGCAAGCTGATGCAGACATTCAGATTTTTTTTCCCCGCGCACGCAGGTTCACACCAAAAGGCTCACAATTTCGGCTTGGAGTGCCGGAATTGTTAGGAATTTTTGTATTTGTTTCTGGGCAGATCCTGATTGTGGTATACCAGTGAGTTCTGGTCAGATCTTTTTGACAAAAATCTCGATTCCTCATCCCTGACCCTGATCCTTGCTGCCTTCTTCTTGGCGCAATCTTGTAAATCTGTAAACCGACGGCAACGACATCCCAGCGGCCCGATGATCGATTGAGAAACGACATATCAGTCTATTCGACAAGGCAACAACCCTCCAACCTCCCGACAGATTTTTTTTTCTTTTTTTTTTTGTTTGGTGTGTGTGTGTGTGAGTAGGGCTGGACAAATAGCTCGGGCTCGTGAACTCGGCTCAAGCTCGGCTCGGGCTCGCCTGGCTCGGCTCGGCTCGAATCCTGAACGAGCCGAGCCCGAGCCTGGGTTTTAGCTCGTTTGTGAACCGAGCCGAGCCCGAGCCAGCTCGCGAGCAGCTCACGAGCTTAGTAGGCTCGGTTTGAATAGAAAGACTTCTGGCCGAAAACCAAAAAAGCCCATCAATTTGTTATATGTTGGCTGCATACAATATACCTAATTATCTTTGTAGGGACTTGAGAGTTATTATCTGAATAACCAAGTCATTGCAAAGCAACACAACTGCTGCTGGCAATACAACTGCTGCTATTGCAAAGCTCACGAGCCAGCTCGAGCCGGCTCGAGCCAGACCACGAGCCGAGCCGAGCCTAATGTACAGCTCGGTTGGAGAACCGAGCCAAGCCAAGCCGAGCCTGGCATTTCGCGAGCTTCCACGAGCCGAGCCGAGGCTGGCTCGTTTCCACCCCTATGTGTGAGGGGGGGGGGGGGGTATCGCCCTCCAGCGACGAGAATATTTCAGTTAGGCACTTCGCTGATTGGCTTGTTTGGAACTTTGAATTACTCAAAGTTTTCCCACTTGGCGGATACTACTAGATAGTTCAAAACCTGCTTCAGAACTACTCCCTCCGTCGCAAAAAAAGACAAACCCTGGTTTCCGTGTCCAACGTTTGACCGTCCGTCTTATTTGAAAAAATTATGAAAAAAATTAAAAAGACAAGTCACGCATAAAATATTAATCATGTTTTATCATCTAACAATAATAAAAATACAAATTATAAAAAAATTTCATATAAGACGGACAATTAAAGTTGGACACAGAAACCCAGAGTTTGTCTTTTTTTGAGCGGAGGGAGTAGTTTTCAAAACCTGCTTCAGATCTAGTTGACGCCTTGACGGCTTCCCGTGGTTATGTGCCAGGAGAGGCCATGTAAAAATTTCTGAAGGAACGACCACCTTTTGGAGGCACCGCACGCAGACAGAAAAGAGAACACCATTGACGTCAGGATAAAAACAAGCATAGCAATACCAGTAATATTCCTCTTGGTATTGCATTTATTTCGAAATACATTACATCCAGCACTCGTAGTAGTGGTAGCAGTAGAAACTATGTTTACAGACGACACAACAATGAACCAAAACATACGCGAATCTATCTGTTGGCCTGCTCTAGCTGAGCAGCCTTGTCCTGGTGCACGAAGAAGGCGTAGAACCCACCACCGATTGTGGCAAATGCCATCGCCCAGACGATCACGGCGACCACCGGCGGCATGATTGCCGCCACCTTGTACGAGAACATCACCGTGAGCAACGTCGTCAGTCCCCATACAAAGACCTTGAGCCATTCCCGGCGGGCAGAGTCCCTCGGCGCTTTCTCGAAGAGACGGAGGCACGCGAAGAGCAGCACGAGATCGATGTACGATGTTAATACGAACGCCACCGATCCACGATCGCCATCGGACCGGTAGATCGCCATCCCGGAGTTGAAGGTAAGGAAACCGAATCCCAGAGCTGTCAGCCATGAGAATCCGCCCTCGTTATCATTCATGCTCGTGGATGCCTCCCGCTGAACAAGCGGCTGTTTTCTCGGCGACACTGAAGACATGCCTGTGACAACGCCAGCTTGCGAGGCAGGATCTGGAACAGAACAACACCATATGCATCCGTCAGAGGAAGTCGGTGGGCACTGGACATAACATATTACATGACACATGCTTTTTTTTATTATGTACTGGTTTGTTTAGACGGTGAAAAATAAGGTAGTTTCATTTCAAATCGCTAAAGAGTTGTACTGTACTACTTATTCTACTACTAGTAGTATAAACGCATCCTGTTTTTTCAGCCCACAAAAGAGTGTTTTTACCATCTTGATACCTCCAGCTGATCTGAGACATCCATTATGCCTTATCTAACGGTTGATAGAATGCGGTACGGTGGTAGTAGAAGGTACTCCCTCCGTCCCAAAAAAACAAACCCTGGTTTCCGTGCCCAACGTTTGACCGTCCGTCTTATTTAAAAAAATTATGAAAAAAATTAAAAAGACAAGTCACACATAAAATATTAATCATGTTTTATCATCTAACAATAACGAAAATACGAATTATAAAAAAAATTCATATAAGACGGACAGTCAAAGTTGGACACGGAAACCCAGGGTTTGCCTTTTTTTTGGGACGGAGGGAGTACTCGGCTGGTCAGTGCAGGCGCTGCAGCAGCCGCCCGCTAGCGGCTGCTGATGTTGCAGCTGCAGACATAACATACTGTTTGGGTTGGCTGTACAACAGTTAAATTAAGTGCAGCCGAACGGAGCCAATTTCGGCTTCAGTTCTTTCCTGATGGACAGGGACGAAGTTGCAGCGTGATCGAAGCGGCGCCGAAGAGAAGGATGACAATTTGACAAAGCAGCGAGCTCATGACTTCTTGCCGCCGAAGCCACCAGACGGTACTGACGGCTGGAACATGGCCGTCCTACACTTTTGTGTAGAGCATAGGCCTCTATGGTAATCCAATCGAAACATCGCCGCCTTCTCCCATGTCATCATGTCCGCCTTGCCCCCTGCACCCAATCACGCCGCGTCCACCTCCCCGCGCATTTAGGACGCCACATCCACCTCTCGTGGCACGCCACCGGCTCCGCCTATTCTCGGACCCAACACTATAGCCGCCGTGACTTTGCCTACTATTGTAGCCGGCGCCACTGCCTCCGTCGCACTTCCTCCGAGCCCACAGTGAACAAGAACGACGAGCGGATGCAAGGTGTGGACGTGTGGCATAGCATGTAAGGGACAATAATAATAGCGACGAACAAAACGATGAATCGGATGAACGAGCGATCTCGTTTTTTCCATTCATCGTCATGCTCTCCTCTGGATTAAACAGTTGGATTTCAAAGGTACCTGCTAGTACTAGTGTCCGGAGGTACATCTTCAGGATGGTAAAAACTCTACTATAAGTGCTTATTCTGTTTGAAGGAAAAATAAAGGATTTGGATTCCTAAGAATTAATTTGCTATTTAGTTTGTAAGAATGAGATATAGGAAGCCAAAAGAAATTGCCTTTCCCTCCAAGTTGCAGAGAGAATCTTTTGGAAAAATTTCCATTCACTCAAATCTTTTGGAAAAAATTTCTATGGATTAACGTATTCATACATTCTATTCCTCCCATTTTCTATTTCTATGAGTTGAAATTTCTCTAAACCGAACAAACCCTAAACAATTTGCTATGTGGACACAAAAATGAATCAGAAAATGAAACATCTTATTAGTTTGGCCAAAGACTTCCTACGGCTAAGATATGTATAAAGTATATTTTATTTTTTGGGTGGGTATCAGTTCTCTATAAAGGAGTATGGGAGTACTGCAGTTTCAGTACAAGCAGGGGAGCATTTCTGTACTTAGCTCCGTTCCGTAGTACAAGTTTCTAACTCCTCGTTTTTCACGCGCACACTTTTCAAATTACTAAACGGTGCGTTTTTTTTAAAAAAAATTTCTATACGAAAGTTGCTTAAAAAATCATATTAATCCATTTTTGAAAAAAAAAGCTAAAACTTAATTAATCACGCACTAAAACGCTAATTCGTTTTGTGTGCCGGGGAGCGAGGGTTCCCACATAGAGACTTAAGATAGTTAAAGATTCATCATATATGACAGAACCTAGAACCAATACGTTTGTTAATGAAAATTTGGAAAATCAAGAATTTCAATGTTGATACTATGATCCTCACGGAAAAAGGAAATAGAAAGATGTAGTAAGGAAATAGAACCCGCTAGAAGGCTACATGAATTATTTTTTTCCTGTTGTACTAGTAGTAGTAGCATGTTATATCAGCGCTGTTGTAAAGTCTTGTAGTATTTGTTGATTTTCATTTCTGTCAGAGGGCATATAATTTTATTTTTCTGTTCTCTAAGCTGAATCTGCATCATGTGTTTTCCTCTACGCATCGTGTGCACACGATGCCTTAGCAGGAAAAGACATCCCATGATAACCATGGGGACACTATGAAAAAGAACATCCTCCCTTCGTTCCATAATATAAGAGATTTTAGGTGGATATGATACATCCTAATACAGTGAATTTGACATATCATCTATCCAGATTTATTATTCAAAAATATATCATATCTATTTAAAATCTCTTATATTATGGAACGGAGGGAGTAAGATGTCTGTAAATACCCCATATTTCACTGTCTATACTCCGAAGGGAGTAATAATAATACGCCGAACAAAGATGCCCAGCGGCATGTTTGAACAAGTCAAATTAAACAGAACAAAATAAAGGAAGGAGTAGCAAGTTGCTCACCAAGGCCACAGCCGGCCTCTTTATCTCAAATCCTCTCACTCTCTCAGAGCCGGGTTCCGGAGCAGACGGATGATGGCTGGGGTGGGGGGAATGATGTTTCTGAGAAAACTCCCGGGGGCGCGCGTCAGTCTAACCCGGATCCTTCAATTTATACAGCTGGGAGCTGCAAGTTCCTTGAATTTTCGTCTCAGCAGCTGGCTGGAAGCTGTCAGTATTAGTACATTTTATATTGGACGGAGTGAGCGTGACAGCAATGACTCGTGAATTGGGGACCCACAAGCCACAACCCACCCGTTCCGCTCCAGTTAGTTCTATCTAAAAATACTACCTCCGTACCAGAATAAGTGTAGCCGTGGATATCCGTGCCCAACGTTTGACCGTCCGTTTTATTTGAAAAATTTGTGAAAAATTTGAAAATATTTAGTCACACATAAAGTACTATTCATATTTTATCATCTAATAGCAATAAAAATACTAATCATAAAAAATTTTCAAATAAGACGAACGGTCAAACGTTGAACGTGAATAGTGCAAAACTGCACTATTATTTTGGGACGGAGGGAGTATCATTTTTATTTCCCCCTTCTTTTCAAATTCGCGATCTCTCTTTATTTTTTTTCTTGGTCCCCCCCCCCCCCGGTTTTTTCTTTTTGCTTTGTGCGAGGCTTTCCTCGATTCACACACAGAGAGAAGCACAAACGGGATCATGGCGAGCCACTAGGGACGTACAGCAAAGCTGTGAGCCCTTGTCGAGCCTGGAGCCTTTGGGGATTCGGCATCGGAAGGTGGTCTCACCCTCAATCCAAGTATCCAACTCTTTTGACTCGCCGCGGCATCCCCTAGCAGCACGCCAACGTAGCCCCCGACGTGCGGGTTCGGGCACAAGCAGAGACATCGACGAAGTCGAGCTCTGCTTCTGCAGCAGGCCGAGTAATCGATCCATCTTTACGGCCACCAGAACGCCCATCTTCGCCAACTCGCATTCCTTTCACGGCTTCACCCCCGCCGAGCGCTGCGAAAGGCGTATTCCAACCAGTAGAAACGGTTCCAATGCTTCGGTATCTATATGCACCATTTATAAAGTGCCCTCCTCTGTTTTTCTATTTATTGCATTCAGTTGGGAAATGACAGAAATGCCATCATCTTATTGCGTCTACACTTTCGCTCCTCCTAGGCGTGTGCTTGGATGGTGCTCCCGTTCAGACATGTGCATCCGGGTCAAAATCGAACGCCTGAGAAACGATGTCAGACTTCGATAAATTTCTGGAAACATGATCCTACCACCTCGTTCTTCGTTCTTTTGTAAAATCGTGTTGCGCTTATAACGTTGACTTTACTATGGGCATTCCAAGATCTCCATCTGTGTGTTCTCTTTCAAAGCTTTTTGGGCATGTATAATTGTTTCAAGAGTTAGTTAGTTTAAAAATGAACGAAAGGGCATGTAGCCCAGTGGTTACAGTGATCTGAGTAGTACCCTAAGGTCCTTAGTTCAAATCTCCTGTGGAGCGAATTTCAAATTGGGTTGTTTGCGGGGCTAAGTTCCCTACTTCAATAGCCGTATATATCCGGTTGGATGTAGAGGCCAGGTAAAAAATACCCTTCTCTAAAAAAAAAGAGTTACTTAGTTTACGAGCTTGGAAGATACTGAGGTAATAACCTAGGACCATTCCGTTCAAGAATATAAGATGTTTTAGAGAAAGTAGGTAGAAGTGAATGATGGAGAATTGTGATTAGATGAGTAGTGGAGATAGGTGAGAAAAATGAACGGTGGAGGGTTGTGATTGGTTGAGAAAATAATGCTGATGAAGAAGTTGTTATATTTTGGGATAAATCCCGAGAACTAAAAGTTATTATATTTCGGACGGAGGGCGTACTAGCTATGCGATGACTTGAAACAAACAGTTCCAAATCAATATTTGTTAGCTCCAAACGCTTTACTATTTTGCCTTTGGTGAAAAACTGCTAATAACACACTCATCTCGGCATGGCAGCTGCACACCTTGACAAGGTGCTCCAGCTAATATTCCAGCCACTGCGCGGCTGCCATTGCCATCGCCATCACATCTCGGCGTGCGAGATCGGCCGAAGGCCGCGAAGCTGAGCAGGACAAGCCTTGTGCTCAGAGGCCGGCTTAGGATGGTTGCCATTTTATAGACAAGGTAGAACGCGCCGGGGTCGTTGTCTTCCTTTTTAATTTCATCTGGCGAAGGTGCCGACAACAAGTTGGACATTTGGGATAGATATGTGGACAACGGCTGTGTTCGGAACTCACATCTTGGGTATGTAAAATGAAGCGACACCTTTTCTGACAATTAATTAAGTATGTATTATTTTTTAAAAATGGATTAACTTGATTTTTTATATCAATTTTCATATAAAAACTTTTTTTTTGCTAAAAATGCATTATTAACCCGTTTGAAAATCGTGTGTGCGGTAAACGAGTGAGGTGAGTTGGGAAAGTTGGGAAAATAACTCAGGGTGTGTTTAGTTCTTTGGGTGTAATGTTTTTGAAGTATATGGACGCGCATTTAAAGTATTAAACGTAGACTAATAACAAAATAAATTACAGATTTCGTCTGTAAACTGCGAGACGAATCTATTAAGCCTAATTAATATATCATTAGCAACTATTTACTGTAGCACCACATTGTCAAAACATGGCATAATTAGGCTCAAAAGATTCGTCTCGTAATTTACATGCAAACTGTGCAATTTGTTTTTTCCCCACATTTAATGCTCTATATATGTGTCCAAACATTTAATGTGATGGGTGAAAAAATTTTGTTTTGGTAAAGCCTTAGTTATATTTTGTATATACCATTAAGGTTGTGTTTAGTTCTGAAATTGGAGAGAAGTTTGAGAAAAGTTGGTAGTTTGGAAAAAAAAAGTTGGGAGTTTATGTGAGGCTGTGTTTAGGTCTTTCCAAAGTTGGAAGTTTGGGTTGAAATTGATATGATGTGACTGAAAAGTTGTGTGTGTATGACAGGTTGATGTGATGGAAAGAGTAGGAAAGTTTTGGATATGATGTGATGTGATGAAAATGTTAGAGTTTGAGGGAAGTTTGATCTGAACTAAATGGGGCCTGAAACCAAGATGAAATGAACAAAAGTGCTCAAGTCCTTCGGCCAAATCACTGGCCGGGTGCCGAAATATTTTAGAAGTAATACAACTTTAATGAAAATTTATAAATATATATATTAATTGACCGAAATCATAAATTTATCATGGTAAAAAATAATTGGAAACTTAGGATGTGTGCGCATGCATGTGAGCGGGCTGTTGCATATGAGCGGTAGGCCACCTGTATGCTTGATCTTTTCGTTTTTAAATCAAACCAACCAATTTGTCAAATCATGATTGTTCGACAGTGTATGAATTTGCGATTTCTGTTGATCAACATATATTTTTTACTCCTCCGATCTAAAATATAATAATTTTTAGCTATAAATCGCACCCAGATTTATAGCTTAAAAATATTTATATTTTATGACGGAGGTAATAATGTTTTATTAAAGTTTCTAAAAAAATTTGTCGGGTGCCAGGCCGGGAGGCCGCTTCCAGTAGTAGCCTCCAGCGGGCGATTATGACAGAGGAAACCGCGCACCATTTCTCTACGCGCAAGCACCAGAGACGACGACGACGAATGAAACAATGTAACACACAGTCCACGTACAAATCAATTGAATCGTTCTTTTCTCCTTTACTTTTCAGCTATATTTTCTACTTTATCTTAATTTTAGTCTATCTTTATTAATTTGCGCCGTAAATCATCTGCCGTCGCTGCGAGAGTGCGATTATCCCTTTGTAGGTTTATCCCGTAAACCTTCCGTTTGCACACGAGACAGGTAGTTATCCTCGTATAGATTTAAATTGGCCTAGAGGCTGATTTTGATCTCTAAATCGGCTCCGCTAACCGGTATAGCTTTTCTTTTTACACAACCCATCTTGATTTGGTCTTTGGCTAGTTCGAGGTGGTTGACGACTCCATATCACCACAAGGCGTTTTAGGTGTCCCGATCTTGATTGTGTAGGTCGAAACACCAGAACTAAGCCAACCAGAGGGGGGTGAATGGGTGGTATGCCCAAAAACCCAAACTTTTCGCGGAATAAAAAGTTACCCTCAAACTCGATGAAGATCGGTCTGACCGAGATTGATCCGCCGATCTGACCGTCCTGATGCCGTCGGTTTGACCGGTGTAGATCGATTGGTCCGACCGCCCTGAGATCACCTCTGCTCCCTGTCGCTACTGCCGGTCTGACCGCCGGTGAGTTGCCGGTTAGACCGCCGCACCCGAGAAAACACAAATTGAAGAACTCTTAAAGTGGATGACGACTTTATTGATTCTCTTTGTGTTTACAAAGTGCACCAAAAGTACTCCTTACAAAAATTTCGACTAAACTCAAAATCCTAACTAAACTATCAACTCAATTGCTCTAAAACGCGATACAGGGAAGCCTCACGCTTCCTCTCTATTTATACATGAGGTAGGCAGCCTAAAGCCACGAACCAAACTCTTACTAGAAGTCTTAATTCCCATAGGAAACCTTCTCGTACAAGAAATAATCTTTACATAACCACTCATACCAAATTTGGACTCCTTCCAAATTTGAGTCCGCATCCCATACGCATAGGGATGGCAACAGGGCGGAGCGGGGCCGGGTTGGGCTAGAACGCCCCCATCCCCGACCCCTGACTTCGCCCCCTGCCCCCGCCTCCGACTGTTGATGCGGTGCCAAATCATCCCCCGTCTCCGACCCCTCCGGAGCCCCGATCAACACCAAAAATACAAGACAACCATCAATTTGGCAAAAACAAATATTGCACATAATTAACACACCATCAAAAATAGCATGAATCGTCGACCGGCTGACGCCGCGTCTGCACCCTCGCCGGCCACCACGCCTTTGCCGCAACCTCGCCGGCCGCCACGCCCTTGCCGCAACCTCGCCGGCCGCCGCGCCCTTCCCTGTCTCGCCGGCCGTCGCGCCCTTGCTGCAACCTCGCCAGTTGCTGAGCCCTTGCCGCAACCTCACCGGCCGCCGCGTCCTTGCCGCGTGATCGGGCGTCCGGGCCTGTGCGCCGCCCCGTGCGTCGTTTGCACCGCCGGAGGGAGAGGTGGAGGGGACGAGCTCGGGACTCGGGAAGGAGAGGTCGAGGGGACAGGACGGGAGCCCGGAGGGGAGATGAGGGGAGGGGAGGGGAGAGGTCGACCGGTGACGGCGAGATCCAGAGGTGCGTCGTGTCCCCTGCGCCGCGCCGCTGCCTCCGCTCACTTGTGTGCGTGATGCGGACGGGAGGAGAGACCGGGAGATGGGGATTGGGGAGACTGGGGAGAGGAT